TATTCATATGGGTTTCCTGGTAGCCCGATTTGTTTTTTCCTCCCTTCTCCCTCCAGTTTCTAGTTTGGAGGTGCCAATTACTGGTCTAGGTATTACTTCTGTACTTGCCACCCTGACTTACAATGTACATGCTTAAGAAGATGAAGAAAGACTTTGTTTTGGAGAGGTTTTTGCTATAGGGCGCATGCTCTTGCCAGAAAGACAGAGAGACAGAGAGACAGAAAGCGAGAAATCACACCCCAGGGGGGATGGTCACGCCGCAATCCCTTCTCCTCCATTCTTCTCTCGAGATCTTGGGCATGCATGCACACGCGCCCGGCATGAGTTTAAGCTACCAGGTCACAAGAGTCCAGCGACATAGCCATTACGCCATCTGCTGGTCCTGAAGAAAGACTTTTGATGATGGGTGGATAAGGGCTATTTTAAAGGAGGTTAGGAAAGTAGAGAGCCCTGATGCTTGGAGGCAAGCGCCGTGGATGCCAACCATGTCTTCTGATGACGTGCTCCTCAGTTCCATTGCTTGAGAGTCAGAATTCTGTCAGGGGATGGGAGTGAGAGTGCAGTGCAGCGTGGCAGCCTGTTCTAGACCGGAGAGGCAATTCTTTGATTCTAGGTCCAGACTGGATTCTGGGATGTGAATTACCAGTAGTAAACAGGAGAGCTGTTTGTGTGCCATGTTAAGTGTCTATTTGGCTCCTAATTCTTTGTTTAGCTATACCTATTATAATAGAGTTTTGGTTTTGTTTTCGTATTCATTTATTTGTTTGTTGTTGTTGTTGTTGTTGTTTTTAGTTTCCCTTCTTTCTTTTCAATTTTCAGCACATAAAGGTAATTCCAGGGAACCAAAAAGTACTCACATTTATTTTGGGATGGCTAGAGCGTTTATCTGCTAAGTTACTACTTTATCTTAACATGTGAACAAATATTAGTCTTAAACAGTTCTTACTGGAATTCTCTGCTCTCTAAAAAAGTTTGTCACCTGATATATGCCCCTTAGGGACAAGGTAGCGTTCTGTTTTTATTGAAGGAAGGGCCTTGAGAGGAAAGGTTTAAAAGAACATCTCAGTGAAATGCTATTGAATAGCTGATACTCGATTACCGTGAAAGAACTATACTTGCAAGCCGAGCAGGGGCAGGAATTCTGCGTAAAATACAGTTGGAGCTGGGTGCTTTGGAAACAAGCCAGAAGGACATGACGGGGGCCAGTGTAGGGTAGCTGCATCTTCACAGGTGCCAGATGGTCAGCCTCTTTCGAGTTTGCTTTATCCCTTTTCTCTAATCCTGCTGTTGGTCCTGAGGTAGGAATTACCTGGAACAGCCCCAGAGAAGGGGGGCAGCCTCAAGGGACCTAGACATAGACGTAGGGGACAGCCTTGGGAATCCTATGTGGGGAGGGAGAAGACGGGATGGCAAACCCGGGCACATATGGTGTCGCCAGACAGACCAAGCCCTGACTCTGGCGTCAGGAAGTCTTTGACCCCGCTGGCACTTGGGAAGTGGTGACCGGGGCACAGAGCAGTGTGGCTGGGAGAGCTGGAATGGAGGAATGTGTCTAGGTGTGTGTGGCCCTGGAGGGTACCTGGAGATGGGGAACGTGCTCGGACCTTCCCTCAGCAGAGTGTGCTTCCCATACAGGATGGCTTCGCTGGCACCCGCGAACGTCAGCAGTCGCCTTGGTTGGGGAGTTGGTGCGGCAGCTGATCACCCACACCAGGAATCCAGCCCAGAGTATCTGTCCCCTGACAGAACATTCCATTATTGCCAAGGCCCATTCAGGAGCTTGTAGTGTTTAACACTGAGCATATTAGAAGCAGCAATGGGACCAGCAGTTAGTGTAATGGCTATGTCACTGGACTCCCATGTAGTTAACTGTGGTTCGAGTCCTGGACCTGGTGGTTTAAACTCACGCCAGGCACATGTGCGTGCGTGCCCAAGATCCCGAGAGGAGAATGGAGGAGAAGGGATTGTGGCATGGCCATCCCCGCTGGGAGGTGATTTCTCGCTTTCTGTCTCTCTGTCTGTCTGTCTGGCGAGCGCACAGGCCCTATAGCAAAAACCTCTCCAAAAAAGAAAAAAAGAAGCAGCAGTAAACCCTGATTCTGCACATGAATGCTATTCCTCTCTGTCTTACATCCCTCTCTTTCTGGAAGACCGGGAGGAATGTCCTTGTTAATATTTGCAGCCTCCCTGTGAGAGGGCATGTGTGCATGTGTTTGCGTGTGTTTTCGGTGACCCTTTTCTCCCAGAATTTAACCCCGAGAGGTTTCTCAGTTCCGGACAGATTCCCTGTTACATGTAAAGGAACCTCTGAATCACATCTTACTCTCCTCTTTGCCCTCATGTTTACAAAATTTACACTTACATTTACGTGCCCAAGGCTGTGGCCTTTCGAACTTAAGTTTCTAGAAGAATTTTGTGACTTTCTTTTTATCCTCACAGGAAGTTGCTTTAATGATTGACTATTAGGGGAAGTGGGGCCGGAGTTTTCCTCGTGTAGGAACTCTTGTGTGATGTTTATACACATTATTTCCTTTCATCTTTACAATCACTAACAGCCCCTCCTCTTCACTGCTGCAGAAGCCGAATAGCAAGTTTAAGGAGCTTGAGGTCACCAAGAGGTGACCAGATCTGGGTTCAAACCCCCCTCTCCCATTTCCAACTTTGTATCCTGGATACCTCCTAATTTCCCTGAATCCAAGCCAGTTCCCTGTTTCCTGGCCCTAAAGTCCTTATCTGTTAGCTACTCATTATCCACAAAATGGTAGAAGATTCTGGATAAAAGATAAAAGAACTAAGGAGGAGGGTAACTAGGTGGCAGAAGATGCAGGGTTCCTACAGAGAGGTCATGGAATTGGACCGAAGAGCTCTGACCACAGGCTCTGTCCATTTGGGGTCTATCGTTCGCCCATGCAAGGGCAGAGAAGGCGTCTCCCCGCGACTGCTCCTGTCTCTTCCCCCCCCCCGCCCCCCCCGCAGTGTGGCATCCAAGGGGCCCTTTTGGAGGACCTGCTCTGTCTGCCCAGTAGGAGCCAGAGAAGGACGGATGTTGCAGCAGTCTGGAATTCATTCTGGGAGAACATTCCTCTGAGTCAGATTCTGAGGTTTTTAAAAGTAGGCTTTTACCAACAGCAACTCAAACTGCATGTATCTTACGGAGGCCGGGACAGCACATGCAAAGGCAAGTCAGGAAGCAGAAGCGGAGCTGCCGCTCAGCCACACGTAGTAATTATAGTAATCGTGCTTCATGCGCGCAAGCTTTTCCTGCTTATCATACACTTTCTTGAAGCCACGTGAGCGCGTCCCGACCTTAATCAATGCTGCAAGTATTGCTCTTTTTACTTTTGATGTAAGGAAACTGAGGCTCAGGTTAGATTAACCACTATTTGAGAGACAGAGCTGGAACTTGAACTAAAATCTTTTGGTCATTTGATTCTTCATGTCTCATGAATGAAGCAGTCCCTGTTGGGGTGGGAGGGTAAGGGGAAGCCTAGAGCATGAATGCTGCATCCTGCCAGGTCAAGAGGGGTCAGTGTGCTGACCGTCAGCTCGAGGGGAGAGATTGCTTGCTCTGAGGTAGGCCTGCCAGCTAGTCAGGTGTGGATCCCTTAGGCAGGAGTGGCCACCTTCAACCCTGCACCTTTAAACACACACAGAATATATCTGGATTACAAATGTGCATGGACACCTACACTTGTAACTGCTTGTTTCTCCTAGTTCAGGAGAAAGGGGACATTTCTTGGTGCCCCTCAAAGGCTAAAAAGTCCAAGACAGCTAGAATGACCTGGTCTGAGTTGAGCCTCGAAGCTAAGCCTTGGCTTTAACTGATTTGTTGTTAGAAATTATGAAATGACTGAGTGACCATCATTCTGACGTGGGTCTTCCAGTTTCTGCTCTGACCTGGGCCTCTCTTCACAGGTACTGGCTTTTCTTTTTATTCTCTTTCTCTGAATAATTCCCCTTCCTCTGTCTGTTGGCCGTCTTATTGTAGAATGCAACCTCATTTTCTGTTAGACTAGTAATGTCTTTTTCTTTTCTCTTTCTTATCTTTTATTTCTTTTTTGGTGGAGTTATAATTTGACGTCATTTATATACATATGCATATACACATACGTGTATGCATATATACGTGTATATCTATGTACATATATACATATATAAATACACATGTAAATTTTCTGATGGTAATGAATAGTGGCTGTGATGTCCCAAAGTGACACAGATGCCCAGGTACTAAGTACTATTATGCTATTATCTGGTACATAACTAGGAAAATAAATAGAAACAGATGACCTGGCACAGGCGTTAGTATTTTTGCCCTCTGGGGTGTTTTAAGTATCTGCTTCCCTGCCCTCCCTTGCCTGGACATCTCTCTCCATCTAGCTGGTACTCGTGTCCATTCCCCCCTCTTGTTTTTTCTGTCCTGCTTTCTGCTTCATGCACACATCCCCGTCTGGCTGGGGCTTTCTCTGGAGTTGGCATGTGGAAAGTGACCACCACTAGAAGCCTGTTGCAGTTTTCTTAAAAGTGCTGTGCCCGGTGTTTAGAAAGGAGGACCTAGGGCTTCATCTTCAGCACTGTGTTCCCTTTGGGCACTGTTTCTGAGAAAAATATTTTTTTTTGGGAGGCACACAATCACTAAAGAAAAGGAAGAGTTGGGGGCCAGCCTCAAAGCACAGCAGTTAAGTGCTGTGCATAGAAAGCCGGATTCCACATGGCCAACCAGGGCTTGAATCCTGGTCCAGCAGGTTGAAAGCCATGCTAGGTGCATGTGTGCCCCAAATGCTGACAGGATAGAGAGAAGGAAGAAAATGGACTGGCATGACTACAGGCACTAAGGAATCCCCCCCCCAACCTTTTCTCGGGTGAGTACATGCACCCTCTGGAAATTTTTTTAATGAGAGTGAAAGGTAAGAAGTGTGCCAGCTTTGAAAGCAAAACCCATCCCTTCATCTCCCAGCAGACTGCATGGCCTCCTAACATGCGTGACTCTGTTGGTACAGGCGACAAGACTACCTTCCAGCTGCAGGTTCGCCAGGTAGAGGATTACCCTGTGGACTTGTACTACCTGATGGACCTCTCCCTGTCCATGAAAGATGACTTAGACAACATCCGGAATCTGGGGACCAAGCTCGCCGAGGAGATGAGGAAGCTCACCAGCAACTTCCGACTGGGGTTCGGATCTTTTGTTGACAAGGACATCTCTCCTTTCTCCTACACGGCACCACGGTACCAGACCAATCCATGCATTGGGTAAGTGACCAGCTGTCCTGTTGAGCATTTAGGGGTGAGAGAATGCAGTGATGAGAAAACTTGGCCCAGAGAAAGGACATTTAGGAGAGGTGACCAGGCTTGGGCATTTAATTTGATGAATGGGGAGTAAGTTCTGTCCTTCCTCTACATGGGAAGCAATGAACTGGCCCAGGTTGCATAAAGACGTAATGATTATTTATTTTCCTGCCTGCCATACACAGCTCATTTTTTCTCACATTGATAGAATTTAGAGAATGTCCTCAGGAAGTGATAGACCAAGGAGGGAATAGGCAGGACAGTTTAAACTTTGCCCTTGCTAGGGGATGAATGAATTTAGTTTGTCTCTGTCGCTTGTGTATAGACGTGTTACTTACCTTGACAAAATTAAATGAAAACCTGTTTATTTTTCAATATAAGTCAAGACCTTGAATTAGAAAATATTTGACAAATTATTAGAGAACAGCAATTTCTAACTGCTGCCAAAAAAAAAAAGGAAAAATATATAATGACCCAAACTTGCTAGAAGTTTATTTCCTGCTTACATCGTCCAGCTGGGCCTCCTGATCAGTGGACACCCCTCCTCCAAGCAGTGACTCAGGTACCCAGGCTTCTTCCATCTCCCATGCTTCACTGTCTTCCACATAACGTCTTCTAAGATCATCCTACCCAGAGGATCGTGCATAGGAAGATCATACGGGTCTGGCTTGGAATGGCATTTGCTACTTCTGCTTCCACATTCGTTAGACAGAACTGAATTCTAGCAAAAATGGTGAACAGGTCTCTGCCACAGAGTATTTGTGTCTGGGGCTGGGGAAATCCTACTCTTCAGTGCTCCCTAACACAACCTCTATTAGGTTGGTTTTTCCTTTGGGTCATAAAATCTAAAAGTAGTTACTAGATAAGGAACAACTAAAACTTAAGGTCTTAGTTAAGTGTCAGGCACAAAACTAAATTCTTTATAAAGATGATCTCATTTAAATTTTCTTTAAAAATTATTTTTATTTAACTTTATTTATTTACTTATTTATTTTTAATTTGACCAGAGAGGGACAGAGTGTGTGGGGGGAGTGAGAAAGCAAGCCTCCAGGTCTGGGACTCAAACCGCAGTTGGCCATGTGGGAGTCCAGCGCCCTTCATCACCATATCACCTGCTGGCCCCTATTTACATTTTTTAACAAATTTTTGAGGGTTTTGAGATAGGTGTAAGATTGTAAAGATGAGGAGGGCCAGCCCTGTGGCCTGGTTAAAGGAGTCAGATCCCACATGGCCAACCCCATGGTTTGAATCTTTGCCTCAGCAGCTTGATAAGCGTGCCAGGTACATGTGTGTGTGTGTGTGTGTGTGCCCCAAATCCCAACAAGGTGGAAAGGTGGAGGAGAGGGGATTTTGGCATGATCATGCCCTATTGGGTGGTGCTTTCTTCCCTCCCTGCGTGGTTTCTGTGTGTGTGTGTGTGTGTGTGTGTGTGTGCCCTCTGGAAAATTACAAGATACTAAAAAATAAAAATGAGAAAACTGAGGTTTAGGGAGAATAAATAAAATTTTAATTCACATGTGGGAACTATACATATTATTGTGGGCTATAATGTGAACTTTCAGTACAAGGCTATAACGTGATAATTAAATCATTGTCCCAACCATTTGTCATTACTTTGTGTTAGGAACATTCAAAATCCTCTTTTTAAAAAAAAATTTTTTTTAAACTTATTTATTTAACTTTATTTATTATTATTATTTTCCAGTTTGACCAGACAGACAGAGAGAGATGGGGAGAGATAGAGGGAAAGTGAGAAAGCAAGCCACCATGTTCAGGACTCGAACCACGGTCAGCTATGTGCGAGTCCAGTGCCTTTAATCACCACGCCACCTGCTGGCCCCCAAAATCCTCTTTTTAAGCTATTACTGTGAGATACACAGTAATTGTTGTCAACTCTAGTTATGCTAGGCCATTTTACAACACCAGAACTTGTTCTCATCTTTCTATGGGACTATTTCTGCTCACCAAGCTCTCTCTGCCCCTCCCCCATCTTCGCAGCCTCCCGTAGACTTTCTTCTCTCTGCGTCTATGAGGTCATCTTTTTGTTTCCACATATGAGTGAGAACTTAACGTTTTTCTCTCTCTGTGCCTGGCTTATTTCACCTGACATGACATCCTCCAGGCTCGCTCGTGTTGCCTCAAATGGCAAAATTTTATCCCCTTTAATGACCAAAGAGTGTTCCATCATGTACGTATACCACGTTTTCTTCCTTTAGTCGTTTGTTGAAGGGTACTTAGATCGAATCCCTCGTGGCTATCGCAAATAATGCTGCAGTAAAGACTGTAGTGCAGACATCCACCACACACCGACCCCCTTCCTTGGATATATGCCTCGTAATGGAATTGCTGGACCCTGTGATAGTTCTGTTCTACATTTTTTAAAGCACCTCTGTACTGTTTTTTTTTTAAGGATTATTTCATTTTATTTATTACTGTTATTATTATTTTTTAAATTTGACCAGAGAGAGACATAGAGAAAGACAGGGAAAGTGAGAAAGGAAGCCACCACATCTGAGACTCAAACCGTGGTCGGCGATGTGCAAGTCCAGCGCCCCAGTCACCCCACTACCTGCTGGCCCTGATCTATACTGTTTTACCGTGTGGCTATGCTAAGTTACATTTCTACCAACAGTGTAAAAGAGTTACCCTTTTGCCCCATCCTTACCAGCATTTATGTTTTGTCTTTTTTTTTTTTTTTTTGTACACTTAGTAATTTATTTTTTACATGAGCAAGAGAGACAGAATACCCAACAAGATCTTGATGCATGATCGCCCCACGGCTTCAGCCGACCCTGGGTCATGGCACATGTGTGCCCGCCATACCCTGGGAGGTCTCTGGATACTAACCTGGGACCTTCCTGTGTGGGTCAGCGTCTCAGAATGTAGCTCTTTATCACTGTGGTGCTGTCTGGCCTCTTTTTGATGCTTGCCAGTGTAACTAGGGTGAGACTGTATGGTTTTGATTTGCCTTTTCCTGAGGATTAGTGACATGGAGCATGTTTTCATGCATTTATTGGCCACTCGTATGTTTTCTTTCAAGAATTCTCTGTTCAGGTCACTTGCCCATTTTTTAACCTATTTGTTTTGTTTTAATTTTGCTACTGAGTTGTTTAGGATACTTCAAGTTCATGGAAAATGGAATAAAGTGCAAGTTTATTATAGTGCAAAACTTTTTTTTTTAACTCATGCACAGTTTTTTCATAACATACACTTTCAATGAGATTTTTAAAGACTCCCTCGTGTATTCTGGTTGTTACTCCCTTGTTGAATGTTCAGTTTGCAAATAGAATAAATGATTTACCCAAAGTGACACAGTTAGTAAGGGATATCCCTATGATATGAATCCAAACCACTTTCAAAGTCTGTGTTCCCATTAATATGTATTATATTACTATATATAGTAAATACCTATTTATATAGTATCTATATAGGCAGTATATATATTTTTTCTCATCCAAATCATGCTATAGCACAAACACTTTACCTGAAGCTGAGTAGTAATACCTGCTCCCAAAGCACCCCACCCTTGCCTTCTAGAGGCGTACCTAAGGGTAACACCAGGCTACGCTGCAGCAGTAAGCCACCCCAAAGCTCAGCGGCTCCATGTAATGAATGTTTGTTTTTGTTTGTGCAAAATCTGGGAAGAGTTGGCAGTTCTCCTCCAGCCGTCACTCAGGGATCCAGGCTCCTTCCATCTTGTGACGTCATTTTCAATTCTTGGTCTCCCAGCTGCCGTGAGGGGAATAAACCAGTTCATCTTTGGAGACCTCATCAGCTCCAGCTCAGAGAGCGGGGTGAGGTGGTAACCTGCTGGTGGCCTCTGTTCTGACTCCTTCCCGAGCCTTTGCATGCACTCCCAGAAGCTGAGTCAGATCTTTCCTAGGGGCTAGGGAACAACACAAGATTGGTTAAACAATGAGAGTCTGAGTTCCTGAACCACAAAGAAGCACTGGATGTCATCATTTGCTGGGTTCAGCTTCCTCCTGGCCACAGGTAGTCACTTTGATCCTGTGTCCAAGGTCTTTTTCAGTTAAATCCCTGTACCAAATGTCCTCTTGCTGAAGTTTGCTACTTACCAGGAACGGTGGCATCTTAACTAAATAAAACTTTTTTTTTTTTCTTAGCTTGCCCAGAACAGTGATTTTTTTTTTTTTTTTCTTTTTTTGAGAGGTTTTTGCTATAGGGCGCGTGCGCTTGCCAGACAGAGACAGAGAGACAGAAAGCGAGAAATCACCCCCCAGGGGGGATGGTCACGCCGCAATCCCTTCTCCTCCATTCTCCTCTTGGGATCTTGGGCACGCACGTACACATGCGTGAGTTTTAAGCCACTGGGTCCAGGATGCGAACCGCAGTAGACTACGTGGGAGTCCATCGACATAGCCATTACGCTAACTGCTGGTCCCCAGAACAGTGATTCTATCTGCTGCTTTTCCCTGCTGTGGTGACCAGGACCTGTCTCCAGACAGGTTGTGTCTCCACTTTCACTCTTCTCAGGCCCATTGACGAGCTGAGATGCTAGCTAGGAAGCTGACGGAATGTCAGGACCAGCCCAGAAAGCTCAGCATTTGAATATTCAAGTTTATTACATGTTATTCAGAGCACCTTCTATCTCTTTTGAAAATTATTTATTTAATTTTATTTATTATTATTTGATCAGAGGGAGACAGAGAAAGGAAAAGTAAGAAAGCAAGCCACCAGGTCCAGGACTTGAACTGTGGTCAGCCATGTGAGAGTCCGGCACCTTAACCACCATGCCACCTGCCGGCCCCTCAGAGCTCCTTCTCTAAGCCCTTGGAGGCACAATCAGTTGCAGATAGAAAAATTCTTGACATTGGGTACAAAGTACACTGGAAAACTGCTTGTCAGGCAGGAAGTCAGTCCTGCGAAAGAATGCGAGTTTTGAAGGGAACATCAGGTCTAAATTATGTAAATCTCTCTTTTCTAGACCGAGCAGTACAATAGGA